AGCCGTTTTAGGAGGGCGTGGCTGACTCTTAACTTTTATAAAGAATATCTCTTTGGATTTGAGACTTTAGTCTTTGCAACTTTACAGATCTTCTTTATGCACCAAGAGCTTGTAACAGTCCAAAGAGAAAGGAAAAATAGAAATTGCATCTTATGACCCCTTTAATGAAAACCCCTGCAGTAAGTAGTTAGTATTTATTCCAAACACAAGCAATAAGATGCACAGGTGTCTGCCCGCTCTCCTTACCTGGCTGTCCTACGCTGTTAAGTCTCTTCATGAGATGGCAAGCATTTGGTAACAGCAGATGCACATCAGATAGAACAGTGTCACTTCTAAATGTGATCTGGTCCATGGCCAAGGCTGCATGTCACTCTATCACGGACACAGCTCTGGGGAATAGAGCAATTTCATTAATATAGCTCATCATCCTTCTTAAATGCAGTAAAATGTCCACACAAACTTAGAGAAATTATGATAAATTTGGCATTTTACACGGATTGGGAAACTATTTTAAGACAGAACAAGTCGTCTGATGAAAACATCTGAACTGAACGCTTGTCTTTTGTTTGGGCTCGACTGAAAGCTATTGTAATCTTGTCTAAGAAATATATTGAAGTGGGGCGTGACCATTAGACTCTGACTAGTGATCTACTGCACTCAAGTCTCAAAAATCACTTTCTGATCGTTCACTTTCTCGCAGCTAAACAGAAAGAGTACGAAATTTCACGTAAGGAAATAATTGATTGCGTATCGTACAATTAGGTAAAGCAAGCATCAAGTACTGATTACTTCAAGTCTGCGCAAGGCTGTGCCTCCTAGAGAGTGGACTACTTAAGTAGCCCTTAAACCAGGTAGTCCGCTCACTTGGAGTCAGAAAGTTCAGTACTGTCTAGGTAAACAGCTCACTAGATTCTGACACACGTCTTCATACCTCGTAGTCTTCAAATCAGCTCTGGTGCAAAGAGCTGTCAATATTTACCGAGTAGTTGACGAGGAGGAGTTTACATAATTTTTGTAGTGTAGTCAAGTGCATTAAATCACACTAAAATATGAGCGTAACGATATGGTGAGATAGTTTAAATAAACGCTATACTGCAGTTTACGAGAGATTACGCTTGCACGAGTGTTACATTAAAAGCAGACCGTGTGTGAAAGAACGCTCTAAAATAGTTCCAAAGTAGAACGCGCTTGACACACACACGCACGCACACACACACAATTCATGTACATTTTTTAATTAATATTAAGCGAAATAAAACAAAAAGATTTTATTTTATTATCAAATGTTTTGACTGTTTATTTTTATGCTATTTATTATTATTAGTGATTATATTGATATACTGTAATAATCATGATTATAATAACGCCATTATTTTCATTTTATTTAGCAAATTTATAAACAAAACAATGTATATTATTATCAAATATTGTTGAGAATCTATTATTTGTTTATTACATTAATTTATATTATTATTATTATGGATATAATATCTGCTTTACTGCTATAAATTATTATTATTATTATTATTATTATTGATATTTTGTCAATAGTGAACACTTAGTTTTCTGATTTTTGATCGTACAGGAACAGAAACTTGCCTGACAACTGACTGGAGGCGTGAGCTGAAAGACTTTACAATCAAATTAATTTAGAGGTCCCTTTGATAATCATCTGATACAAACAAACAAAGGTCTGCATACTAATGAGAGAGGGGGATTGATATCATATGTAGTAATTACGACTATAACTAATCATGTTTTGTCATTTTTAATCACCAATGGCATTTATCTTATCTGTGCCACAGTTCAAAGTCAACCAGAGAGAGAGAAAGAAAGAGAGAGAGAGAGAGAGAGAGAGAGACAGAGAGAGAGACAGAGAGAGAGAGTGGACCATACTGCCCTCTTTTGGTAAAATCGCCCAACACTAGCTGTTAATAGATACACAGCAAAGCATCCGGCGAGGGGCTTCCAGCAGGACAACGCTGAGGGAAAGAAGAACAGTTAAAGCACTATAGAAGGAGCACTTTCTCTTCAAACACTGTAGAAAGCCGCATTCAGACAAAATGAAAATCACTTTCACAGGTTTGGCCAGTTTTGTGGCCACCTTTGGTGTCCTCAGCTTTGTAGTTCTCGTTCTGGCAATTGGAACCGATTTTTGGTACATCATTGACACTTCTAAGAGAGAAAACAGCTCATCTGAGTCTCTGAGCTCACATTCTGGACTGTGGAGGACTTGTAACTGTAAGTCACATTGCATGTTTGTGTTTGACATTCTGCTTGTGATTTTAATGCATGAGGTTATCATGTGGATGGATGAAGTCATTCTCTCTTTACAGTTCATAACCAGTGCTGGCCATTTATGAATCCTTTTGGAGCAGGAAGAAACTTATCAGAATCACAAAGGCAGATACTAAGTAAGATCTGTGTGTCATATCATCCTCGTATCATCCTCATATATCATAATTTTGTATTTGTTATATAAGCTTCACTCAGCCGACAAAACCAAATCCTTTAAAAAATGATCTTTTATGTTTCTTGTTTTAAATATGCTATCCAAGGGATGTAAACACTTGTTGAGGAAGTATTTGATCTATTTAGTTTAAACTCCTTGGTCCGGCTTTATACTGCTGCAGTATACTGTATATGCTCAGTGTTTTATATATGAATTTTTAAAAATGTTCAAGGTTTTGGTAAAGTATATCTGACGTAGAATAAAGAATAGATTTCATTAGAATAATCGTTCTGTAAAATAATAATAAAACATGCCCAAACTATATATTTAGCAGAAAGCATATTGAATAATAATTATTATTTTTTAGATATAAATTCACACATTTTCAGGTTCTTGTTCCTAATTGCTTTCAGTTTTTTAACATGAAGTATTGTCATTCAAGACCATGTAGTTTCTATGATGTATCTCAGTTGAACAAACAGAAAATCTTTCATTTACGACTGGCAGAGGAGGGAAACTTGACACATCAGCAGGAAGCCACACAGCTTATTACCTGTTTGCACTACAGAAACGGGTGCAAAATCACAACATACAGATCAGATATTTTGACAATTTGACAACTAATAAAGTAACAGAAAAGGAATGACAATATTAAAAGGGATCCCTCAATATTTTAGTTTTTTTGATTGTTTGTTTTGTTTTTCCCCCACTGGCATCCAAAGTTTTAAAATAAAATTTGACATCAAAAGTTCAACAAGTAATTTTGAATACATCTAACTGCACACGGGCTGCAAAATTCAGAATAGGAACTATTAGTGTGTATGTTGGCATCCTACAGATAGAGGCACAGAAATATCTGAAAATATGTGTTTTAAGGCTATTTTCACCTGAATGGCATCATGTACATTTCCAATATAAGAAACTGAACATAATGCCTTCAAAATGCCCTATTATCTTTGAATTGTCATGGAAACACTCTTCAATCAGAGGGCAGAAACAGCTTTGGTAGAAACACAGCTGCAAAAAGTGTGCCATGGTGAACAATGGCATGTGTTTCTCTGCTAATATTGTGAGCCCACCTGCCAGCAGACCCCATAACATTATTTTCCTTTGTTTAGCTTTTTCTTTCTTTCTTTCTTCGTAATCTCAACATGGCTGTTGGCTATATACAACATCACTCCAAATTTCAAGTCTTTTTATTGCCAAACAATCACCAGTAATAAGTTCTTTTGTTTTAAAATGAACCAATAAATGTAGAATTGTAATTGCTGCTCGCAAAATGTGTTAATAATTTATAGTTTTGATGATTGTAGAAAAGCCATTGAGAAAAGCAAAAGGAAATTGAGATACAAAAAAGTCTTCTTATCCATTCCGTACATCATACACTATCTAATAATATTCCTGTCTGAGACATTCAAGTCACTTGTGTAGGTCTAATGAGATTTTAAAATTCACATGCTCATTGTCCACACCTGAAGCACTATCTATACCTGCCACAAGAGACTGTAATGAGGTTGTAAAACCAAGATTATCTAAGATTCAAGACCTCTAAACTGTCTCAATTGGATTTAGTTTCTGTTGTGCTTTTGAACAATAGACTCAATAAGTCTGGGTTGCCAGGATGTTGCTTTGATTAGATAATAGTCGCTGCACAAAACTAAATTCCCCCCTAAAGGTAGTTCAATATATCTTTCCCTGCATCTACGCTGGATTGTTCGCCTAAAGATAATCCAGTAAAAGAAATACCTTATGTGTTGAACATCATCATGGACACCTGTTTTTGAAATGTTTATGGCTGCTCCAAAAATAGTGCAGAATAATGTTGGAAATACAGTGAAAGGGGATTGAAATGCGCCTGTCCAATTCAATCACCTTACGGATGGACATATTGTGGCTGTTCCAGAATGAACATAATAGCTGGCCTGATTATAATATGACAGTGTGATCTTTGACTTGATCGTGAATGACAGCCTGTCACTTTCTGTACTGTCTTTTTGCAGCAAATGTCCAAACATGTCAATATGGAGGCCAACAATTTGAATTGGGCTTTGCATTAACGTAAGAAGAAGACTATCCTCAGACTCAATCAACATGTTTCACTAAAGTGAAAAAAAAAAACAGTCTAAATGTCTGTCTTTCTGTATCAGGGCATTTAAATGCGTACATCATATTACAACAATAACAGGATTTGGTCTTTCTTGTCTCCTTCACAACCCATCATTACTAACAGCCTTTTGTGGTCCATAGTGAAGCCATTAAAGAAAATCCATCGCTTTGAACATGCTGTACTATCTTTAACCTTAATGCTTAATAGATGCACAAGGGCTGTCCATTTTTCTTTTAAAACCCTCTAATCAATACAAACTCAAAGGTCTCTAAAACTGTTGGTAAGTATGTCCGGCAGTATAAAAATACAGTGTGTATGTTTACATAAATTATATAAACAAATATATATATTAAATTAAAAGAACAACAATTTTTTAAGTAAATGTACACATTTAATTCATGTAATTAATGAACTGCATGGGAAGAGTAACTCTTATTAACATCTATTTGTAATATTTACATTTTATAGTCATTGCACATAAATCTAGAAATACTGAGTAGCCTAAATTTTAATCTAAAAGTACAGTGTTTGGATCCACACTTTGAATTAGAGGTGGACGGTTAAAAGAATAGGGAATGCTAGTGTTAGAGGGTCATTTTTAAATAAAAAACAAAACAAGTCAATAGAACAGAACAGAAAAAGAATAGAAGAAAGAATAGAGAATGCTAGTGTTAGAGGGTCTCTTTCTTTATAAATAAAACAAGTAATTAGAATAGAAATAGAATAGAGAGTGCAAATGTTAGAGGGTCAAGTTTTTTAATAAAAAAACAAAACAAGGGGATATAAATAGAAGTAGCATTAAGAGAGTACTAGAGTTAGAGGGTCAAATGAAGATGAAAGAGATGTGTTTTCAGCCGTTTCTTGAAAATATTAAGGACTCATCTGCTTGGATTTGGGCAGGTCATTCCACCAGGAGAGAACAGTTAATGTAGAAGTCCATGAAAGTTTTATCATAGGTAGAATGCAAAATGTTTCAATACAAGCATTTCAGTCAAAGGTAATTTATGCAACATTTCAATCATTTAACCCACTTGGGAATATCAACCCATGGCAACAGTTTAAAAGTAGCCCAATTCTGTGGGAAAAACGCGGACTTGGCAACTCCAACAAGAGCTGCAATAGGTAGAATGCAAAATGTTTCAATACAAGCATTTCAGTCAAATGTAATTTATGCAATATTTCAAACCTTTAACCCACTTGGGAAAATCAACCTATGGCAACAGTTTAAAAGTAGCCCAATTCTGTGGAAAAAACGCGGACTTGGCAACCCTGCATCCAACAAGAGCTACCGGAGTCAGATTTGACTGATCACAGGTCGAGAATAAGGAGAGATGACTGACAAGAGCATGCTGGAGTATTTGCTGCTCAACAGATCCTGAGCTCATTGACAAATATCTGATCTTGTAAGATGTGCTCCCTTAACACAGAGTGGGTGTGATTGCGAAATCGAAAGTGAAAGTAAACAGTGCCAACGCTCATTCAAAAATATTTAAATACACCGCATCCTGAGAGCAGCTCCCTGATGCGCCAAAATTATATACAATATTAGAATGTTTAAAGGAGTGGACACGAAAATCGCGGGAGCGAAACACATGTTGCGGGGGCAGGCCGCAATGGTCAGAGATTCAGCTGGAGCGGAATTAAGAAAACAGCCGAATCCCAGACATTGGGCAATTAAGAAATCCCGGCCGGACGCATTTTTATAGGTCCAAAAAGAGGACATGACCGGGGAAAAGAGGACGTATGGTCACCCTTTAAGGTAAGTTTGACTTTCTGTTTTAGATTTCTGATTTGTAATACATTGGTCCGTGTGCATTTCGATAATTTAGGTGCGTCCAAAATCGCTGTTCTATGACGTTTTGTAGCAAGTAGTGCGTTCACACTGAAAATTCCAAAAAGAAAAAGTGCACTTTAAATACCCGGTTGATGTACTTAACCGAAAAAGTGAAGTGTGGAATGTTGGGCACTTAATGCACTCAACTGTTGCAGTTTTAATTACGTACTGAAGGGGGAGCGGCTATCAAGACTTCGATTATGAACGACAAAATAACCTTATATAATTCATACACTACATGGTTGAGTACATAGTGCATAAGTACATACATTTTCAACTTGACTGAACATTTAAGTGTAAAGCCTCTCATGCAATTCCAGTCTTGTCAGTTAAATCTTTTCTTTTCTCAAACAATCTGTAATTTGTTGGTTAAAAAGCAAAGTCTTGTGAACACGTTTCTATAAACGGGAAGGCTTTGGATTCACTGCAGAATAGGCCAGCGTGTAAATTGAGGACCATACAGAAGGAGTGATTGGTCTAATTCTTATATTCAGGCAAGACAAATCTATGCATAGATTTGCATGATATAACATTATTGTTGTTATTTTTACCTATTCTTCACTGCATAATATAAATTTGTGGTTAAATGTTTTAGATCATTGTTTTGATATCACAAATTGTGTCTGTTCATTTACAGGGTGACCTTACTCTAACGACGAGCTGATACAGTGGACACTTTAGGTGTGGGGAGGAAGACAGAGTATTACAGAACAGCAGACACTTCCCAGTAGGCACCAGACGTCTAGGTAACGTCAGGTTGACGTTGGACATGACGTCAGACAGACGTTGCATTTTGGTTGAAAATGAAAATCGGGTTGACGTCAAGTTGACGTTGACTTAACATTGGATTTTGGTTACAAAAACAACTAAATATCAATGTCAGCTGACGTTGGACATAAATTTAACATTGAAATTAGACGTTGAATTTACATTGAATTTTGGTCACCGGACGTCGCAACCGAAATTTAACCAAATATTAACGTCTTATGACGTTGTGTGCCTGCTGGGTTGAAGTAGCATTCAGTCATACTTTATTTTTACTTTTTTATTTTTTTTGACATTACCTATACCAGTTTTGATACTGTTAAAAAAATACTGTTTTGTTGATTAATGTCAGTCATAACACTTTTTTTTTTTTTTTTTTTACTGAATGCACCTTTAAAAACTTGTGCCCAGACGTTACTAGGTCATGTGAATGTGACTGATTCACTTTCTTTTATGTTGGAAAAATAAACTGTTTAATTCTATTTTAGTTGTGTGATTTGTGATAAAGGTATAGACCAGAGGTTCTCAACACTGACGCTCGAGGCGCTTAGCTTGTTCAGGTGTTTGACTAGGGTTAGAGTTAACTCTGCATGAAAGTTGGAACCCCTGGTATAGACAAAATTTATATAGTTTATGTGGTTATATTAATCAAAAAGAAATTGGCGATGTTTACATAATCATAGGGAGTAATAGATATTCATAAAACGAAGTAAATGAAATAAAATCAACTTATTTACTTAAGATTTACTTAATATTTTGATAAATGCAAGGCATGATTATAAAATAATAAATAAACTTTACATAATTACTATAAATAAACAAAACTTCTCAATTAAATTAGTGCTGTCAAACTATTAATCGCGATTAATCGCATCCAAAATAAGTTTTTGTTTACATAATATATGTGTGTATAATGTGTATATTTATTATGTATATATAAATACAAACACATGCATGTATATATTTGAGAAAAATATGTTATGCTTATATGTTCAATATATTTATATATAATATAAAATATAAGAATATAAATATATACATGTAAATATTTTCAAAATATTTACTGTATGTGTGTGTATTTATATATACATAATAAATATACACAGTAAACACACATATATTATGTAAAGAAAAACTTTTATTTTGGATGCGATTAATCGCGATAAATCGTTTGACAGCACTAAATTTAATATAAGTAAGTAATATTTACGTAATTAGAGTGCAATTAGATTTAATTTCTTCATGAATGTTAATTTCAGTAGTAAGTAGATTTTACTTGATAATAGCAAGCAAGCTGTTCTTGATATTATAGCAGTGAAATTGACTTAAAATGTGTTAGTGTAATTGTTACAAGGATTTTTTTTTTCAAGTAAATCTTACAAGTTATAGGGTAATTCCTGGAAACTGTCAAAGGGAAAATAGGGAACAGCTGAGCTTTGACTGGCCAGTCTACACAAAGAAAGTCAAATTAGCTTTTTACATTCACTCACCTGCATCTCCTAGGCTGGCTCCCAGCTGTTTCCTTTTATAACAATCGCCTTTTTCCAAAAGGTACATCTGGAAAAAGGGGGGTCGTCTTATAATCAGGGTCGTCTTATATTCGGGCCAATACGGTAATATTACCAGGGATGGGCTGCTCAAGAAACATAGGATTAAGTCATTAGAAGGCCTGTGAATAAGTGGTATGGAGGCCTATGACATCTATTTTTATTCTGCATGAATACATATGACCTCATTTTTTCCTCATTTTTTTTATAGCCCAATATCAGAACTGTCAAAAATGTGCCAGCTGCTAAATGCATCTAGGGATATCTGGCACAAATGACAACTTCATACAATGTCTCTCATCGTGATCAACACAATGGGGAACAAACATCATTACATAAAGCTCTTTGAAATGATGCTGATTAGCCTTACTGATTACCATTCAGAATAATTAAGCAAAACATTTTCAATGCCACAAAAGTTTTTGCAAAATTAGACAGACAAAATTAATTGGGTAAATTCCAACTTAACACACCGATTTTTCATAATTGCCCCAATGGTCAGGCAGTAATTGTTTGCTGCACTAACCATAAAAGTAACAATTTCCAAATTAGTCCAATTAGCATGACAAAGACTGGACCCACTAGTGAAAAAATCAGCATGCTTCGGCTGGGATTGTGACTGGCACTGACACATCCAGACCTCTTCTCTTTCCAGACATGCAAGGAACGTTCATCGTCCTGCTGCCTCTCAGCGTGATCGTGCTGTTTATTGGAGGAATGCTGGGCTTCATCAGTATGTTGGCACGAGCCTACATGCTGCTCCTCCTGACCGGAGTGCTGCTTCTGTTCGGCGGTGAGCATCACCCTCGCTTTCACCTCTGATTGATCCTCATGTGCGGCATGAATATTTATTCTGCCCACGTCATGCTTGACAGAGCATCTGGAACTCTAGACAGTTTTGATAGTAATGAATAAGTTTCACAACAAAAAGCAGATGGAAAAAAGTAGTCTCAACTGTTGACTTCGGGTGCTGAATTTTGAAAGATAAGATCAAAATGGTCCCCTTAGTCTTTTTGCATTTTGTTTATATTTGTATTTTCTGTTATTTAGCAAAAAATATTCATAAATTCTCTTGGAAATAAATGTCTTTGCAGCTGTATATGTTTTGCTAAATATTTGGAAAATGTAATATATACTGTGTGTGTATATATATATACAGTGTATATATATATATATATATATATATATAAAGCTGGGTAGTAACTGATTACATGTAATCTGGATTACGTAATCAGATTCCA